GAAAAAAATAGCATTTCTCAGACACTGGATCAAAGCAGCGGGAGAGAGGAGGGCCGAGCAGACGCCGCTCAGCCTCAGAAATGTGTCAAGGTTTGTTTGGTGGTTAATAAAAGGGCCTCCTTCTTTGTCTTCTGTTGAAATGCATGCGTGGTTTTACATTCTGCTTTACTGAGGAATTTATTTTTACAAAACGTGTTTTGTTTTTGTGTGGCATTTTATCATTTACTGTGACCAACTTAGTTGTTTGGGGGGGGAAAGCTGCTACTAAATGCAGAGTGTAAAATCCAGGCCAGACTTGGATCCATCAGAAAGCTGGATGAATCCATTCTGTGTCTTAAGAAAAAAAAAAACTACTTCCTACAGGAAATATAAAACAGGCAGCTGCCATTTATATATAAGGCCAAACTGTAATGGACAGTAACTTATGGTTACTTATGATTATCGCACTCCTGAAAAACTACAGTCCTATATTCTGCTAGAGGCAGTGATTCATACAGCGCAGAGCAGAGTTCCTGGTCAGTTGTAGCATGCTGATTTATAAATGACAGCTGACAGAGTGTGATATGTCAACAGATATTTCCTAAAAGACTCTATCATGTGCTCATGGATAAATCCTGGATATCTGTGAGGTTTAGATAGCCAGCGCTGTCCTGTATGTATTTTAATAGCTACTGTATCCTGCACATGTTGGGAGATATTTATAAACACAAATGAATGCAGAGACAGTTTGAGTGTGCAGCACATGCGGCACAGTCATGCGATGCATTCACAAAATGTTGCTAACGAGTTGGTGTAAAACGTTGCTGGTTCAGAAACAATGATGTCATCAGCTCCATGTAATTTCATCTGATGTGCACTTGGAGCTACGGCTGCTGAATTAATGGAACTGAACTGAAATTTCCATTCTGGCTTCCAACAGAAAAAGATGACTGAAAACAAAAAGGCCTTTGGCCAACAAGATCTATTAAGAGGAACTAAAAGCCATTAAAAGTCTTCTGTTCTGGATCACGAAGGGTCTGTCACCTTGGTCGCAGCTCTAAATCACTCCCTGCGTGCGTACAGCACGGGTTTCCTGAGATGTGTAGCCTGAGCCGGGTACAGGCCACAATTGGACCTGCTGACATAGGCAGTGTAGGATACACAACACCGGGGAACCATGGTTATTCTCACACAGCCCTTTTCTGCTAGTACTCGGTCTCAGTCTCTGTCATTTTCCATTACAATTGAGTCCCACCTTATGTGCGTCAGACACATGTTGTTTTTTCAATTATTGCCATCATTGTTTTTCAAAAATGGTGGTTTTGATTTTCTTGAAGGAGTTGCTCTCACAACTCACAGTGACATCAGTGACTAGCCAATCGGTGGCATGCAGTCTGTTGCGATCATGGTTTTCCAAGCGCATGGAACTCCGGCGAGTAGGTTCTTAAAAAGGAACCGGCACCAGGTACTACCACTTAATGGTTTTGGCTTCCCTTCATTGGCTTCCTGTTAAATCCAGAATTGAATTCAAAATCCTGCTCCTCACATACAAGGTCTTAAATAATCAGGCCCCATCTTATCTTAATGAGCTTGTAGTACCATATCACCCTATTAGAGCACTTCGCTCTCGCTCTGCAGGCCTACTTGTTGTTCCTAGAGTATTTAAAAGTAGAATGGGAGGGAGAGCCTTCAGTTTTCAGGCCCCTCTTCTGTGGAACCAGCTTCCAGTTTGGATTCAGGAGACAGACACAATCTCTACTTTCAAGATTAGGCTTAAAACTTTCCTTTTTGCTAAAGCATATAGTTAGGGCTGGACCAGGTGACCCTGAATCCTCCCTTAGTTATGCTGCAATAGGTGTAGGCTGCTGGGGGATTCCCATGATGCATTGAGTTTTTCCTTTCCAGTCACCTTTCTCACTCACTATGTATTAACAGACCTCTCTGCATTGAATCATATCTGTTATTAACCTCTGTCTCTCTTCCACAGCATGTCTTTATCCTGTCTTCCTTCTCTCACCCCAACCGGTCGCAGCAGATGGCCCCGCCCCTCCCTGAGCCTGGTTCTGCCGGAGGTTTCTTTAAACCTCCGGCAGGGAGGTTAAAAGGGAGTTTTTCCTTCCCACTGTTGCCAAAGTGCTTGCTCATAGGGGCTCATATGATTGTTGGGTTTTTCTCTGTATCTATGAAGCACCTTGAGGCGACTTATGTTGTGATTTGGCGCTATATAAATAAAATTGAATTGAATTGAAAACCTTAAAAACTGACTCGGGTCGAGCAACGCCGATCCCAGTGGGCACTAGTGGGAAAGGGCTAAGAGTCACATCGAGCTCCAAATACCAGACAGCACTTTGTTATTTTATATCATAATTTATATTTGAAGTTCAAGGAAATCAACATGCGAATCCATCCACTGGAGCCCTTTTGTAAAATCAGCGAGCCCAAGCATCTTCTTTTTTTTCTTTTTTTTTTTTTTTTTTTTAAATCGCTGAGATTAGAATTATTGTGCAGAATTTAAAAATGCTTTCTGCCATAATCGACAATATTTCTAAACTGTTTCAAATATTCTTACTTTTTTCTGTCTTTTCTGTTTATGTAAACAACTGCGCGCACTTTTTGATCACAATGTCACCAGTGATGTCACCACGCTCCCCCTCCCCCTAAGAAACAGTTAAATAATCTCCTGGCTGTTGTAATCCTCTGACATAACAGGCTGGCTAAATGCCTCCTGCAGTGTTTTCTCACAGATTGGGAATCTGGAACAGACAGCATTAAACCACAGACACACACACACTTTGCAATTTTCAAGAAAATACAAATCAACTTGAACAGCTGTAAAGTTTCTTACTAAAGGAGAAGCACCTGGGTGTTGACTAAATGAATGATGAGCTAAATGTAAGCATGTGTTTCAAATCGTTCATGAAATAAAGAAAAATGACGGTTTTGAATCTGCTGGGCAGACTAAAGCACTGACAGTTTGAACTCAATTAAATAATCGTGTCTTTATGACTTATTGCAGACACATTAAACATGACAGTCTGGCCTCGTATCAGAAGCGGCGACGCATCACAGTGACATCAACAGCTGGATTTAAAAATTTAGCTTGAAGCTAAACTCTAGATGAACTCTGCAGATAGAGGCTTTTTAAAAGATTATGAAAGACCTGAGTTTGCACTTCCAGTTCAACAACCCTTCAGGGAATTTACCCCACAAATCTCCTTACAAAGGGCAGTGCACTTCTAGGTCTCGCTCTCAGTGGGGAAGAAGTGATCAGCCAGACCTCCAGTGTTTGTATTTGATGGGAAAACTTTTACCACAGTAAAAGTGCTGAAGCCTGTGGCAAGATATTTCACTCTGCATTCAGAAGACCAAAGTAATTTACAAAGTGCACTTCATTTTTGATTCACTGAGACCCGAAACACACAGAGCAAGGGAGCTGAAGGTCCATTTCCCATAAACCTCTATACACCCAAAAGTGCAACCACAGGGTTTGCCCTTCCAGTAACCATTAAACAGAATGCAGGTTTAAGGCACTTCCTTTTTATGCGGTGTGTAATGTCAACATATAAGCATTGTTGCATCTCTACACAAGAAATAAAGCAAAGACCTAAAAGGAAAAAAACCCAAACCACAGTTTTGATAAATTATATTAAATTAGATGACTGACTGCTACAAATGCAACAAAAACAACCCTGTAATATGTCAAATGAGACCGGAGCGTGCCACACGTCTGTGATCATGTGATCAACCCCAGGGCAGATCATTGTTTTGAGACCTTATTGCTAACTCACTCTCTCTCTCTCTCTCTCTCTCACGCATCCACACACACACACACACACACACAGAAACTGAAAAATAATATCTTATAGCAATAATCAATAACACCAACAGCATTTTTCCAGCTTCTGATCAGTACCATGGACAACAACTGCAGTCAGAGGTCAGGCAGATGGACACATTTAACATAAGTTTATGCTACAAGCTCACAATGAATCGACTACTCAGCTACAGATTGAGCCTTGCTATTGTAACCTGAAGACAAGTGTAAAGTCTGTAAGCATGGAACAAATGAGAGAAGCCCATGAACCACAGGTCCTCACAGGCTGAGTGGACAGGGGATTGTACCAAACAAGCACATTCATTCATAGAGTTACTCAATCAATAACTGTTTCCACTGGACTAATTTCTATATAAATCAACCACACACAAGTCCACACATACATACATATGACTGCATATTTTCAACATATAAGTCGGAACAGCCTTTCAGTTCTTGACAAAAACACAAAGGAAATACAAGCAGTGGATTTCCCAGCATGCTCATCAGCCGTCCAAATGTTTCAGAATGTATACTGCATACATAAACTTGGGCTTTGGTCATGAGACAGAGCCACAAATGTAGTGGAGCTTTTTAACTCTGTCCCATTTTTATCTAACTGAGGAGAACGTGCACATTCAGCAAGTCTAAGTTGGTTTGGGGGGCTTTTATGCGCGACTGCCCAGGAACACACCGTCTTGTAGTCCGCCCCTGCCCACACCTCGATTTTCTTTTCCATTTCGATGTGGAGCAAAGAGCTCCACACACAAAAGCACATGACGAAACCTGGAGCAATGTCACAAGCTTTAAAAAAGAAATAGTTAATCCTCGTCCCCACAACTTTCATTTACACGGAGCGCATCTCAAGACCGTATCGTCAACTTTCACAGACACCCCGTCTGCTGTCCGCCTCATCCTCCACCTCCCATACTTTAAAGTCCCACTAACTTGACTCACATTTCCCAAAATAGCATTTCCACGATCAGTGAGGGTGTCGTGTTTCTGCGCTCCAACAGTTATCAGACACAACAACACATGTAGAGTAGCGCTGACAGCTCGGTGAGGATGAGCGCACACAAACCAGGGAAACCATACAAAACAAAAAGCAGAGTGGAGCTTCTCCGTGGACCAACAATCATGTTGAAGCGCTGAAAGAAAACTCTAAACCCAAAGTAAAATGACACACACACACACCTTTTACACTCACCTTTCATGGCAGTAATGACAAAATACATAGTTATAATCCAGGCTCGTGGAGAGAACAGTAACACAGCTCCCTGTGTGAGACCAGCGGCAGCTCTATCAGCACTGTCATCCTTCGGCTGCTCGGCACAGCATGAGGATACATGTGACTGCAACGTCATCGTTCTGGCCCCGCCCCATCACTTACCTGCACCTCTTATTGACACAGCTGTCAGCCAATGAGAGGACACTTTTAAAACACCGTGAGCGCACAATCTCAAAATTATATAAAACCACACAACAACAAAAAAAACCCAACACAAAAATATGAACCACTGATGAGAAGGAACACAGAATAAGATAAGATAAGATAAGATAAGATAACCTTTATTAGTCCCACACGTGGGAAATTTGTTTTGTCACAGCAGGAAGTGGACAGTGCAAAAGTTATGACGCAAAAATTAGAATACAATAAGAATAAATACAGTACACAGCTGTACAGAATAGAATAAAATAATATACTATATACAGTAGAATAAAATAGAATAAAAATATACAATAAGATAAAAATAGAATACGAATGCTATATACAACTGAGTAAAAATACAACGATGCCAGAAAAGATTATTGCACTTAGTGTTATTTCACATGTGTGGATGTGTGTGTTTGTTCAAAATGACACCAAAGAAACACAAAGTACCACAGAGGGACACAAAATCAACAAAATGACCAATCTGCAACATTCATGTCAGTCAACTTTTGGTGTTGTTCTTACATCATCATCATGATGTTTGTCCAGGATCAACATTGCAACTGACCAGTCACATTGTATAAGCAGTTAGCATTAGCCAAGAAGTTAGCTAATGCTATGAAAAACTATTACTAGCAAAAGAACATGAGTAACCTAAATTTGGTTAATAGCAAACATAACTTGATAATACCTAATAATAATTATTTTTTAAACCCTGAAATGCTGAGCACTTGTTCCAGAAGAGCGTTTTACATAAACAAAGACATTTTTTTCTCCTTCTTCCACATTCCAAAGATATGGCATCGCAACAAGGTGAGAGGCCAGTTGCAATGTTGATCCTGGACAAACATTATGATGACGCATGAACAACACCAGCAATATCAGGTAGACCGTAGTCAGGCAGCCTAGTAGTGCTGTACCACCTGTGAGGTGCTGATCCAGCAAAGAAAAAATAAAATCTCAAGAAGAGATGCTTTTAAATGCCTCCAGTCATACTTTTAGAACAGTTTTTATTTGACCTTACCAATTATTCGCTGGTAAAGTAATGGCATTATGGTCCTGATCAATATTATAATTATAATGGTGCAATCTAAGATACTAAACAGTAACGTCAGTGAGGTAATCCAGACTGATTCCAACGTCAACGATTCCAAAATTTGTTGCAGTACAAACATGCTTGTTAATGCTGTACAGTTGGACATTTAAACAGGAGAGTGTATGGAAACAAACACTCGAGAAACACTCTGCAGAAGGAAGCCATATTCTACACCGACTGTATTTTTAAGTCATTTTTGGTGTTGCATCATTCCCCTCCTCTCCACCTCACACACACAAATCAGCATGAACACAAAATTACTACAAAATGCAGCAGTCTCTTACACATAAATTAAATAAAATAAAAATAAGAACATTTTTTGGTTTCTTTTATTTATAGTTATGTATTTTCCTCCATTTGGCTTCCTGGTGAGGCAGAAGGTTTCATTTAGACGGGAAGTTTATCAGATCTCTTAAAAGCAACAGCTAAAATGAAATGGGGTTTCTCTTTCCTCTCAAACAGCCTCGACTCTAACTGAGACGTTGGAAAGTTTTCTTTGAGATGTCAACATAACCGTGGTGCATCATTTCTACCAATTTGTCAGCTGCAGATTAATGCTGCCAGTTTCACTTTTTACCACATGCCAAAGATGTTTGACTGGTTCTCTCTGTGACAATAAGTTATTAAACAGGCTTTCTCATTATTGTGCTATCTTTGCATTTTGGTCATTATAGCAGCGAGATGGCACTGCTATTGTTAGGTCAAATAGAAGAAAACAACATTCTTCACTATCACTGTGCCCCATAATTTAAAAAGAAAAAAAAAACTGTCATGTCGCAGGTCAATTAGTTCAGATAGTTTTTGGTAATGAAACCCTGGCATGAGATCTGCAGCGGTGCAGACACAGATACATCACAAAGAGACAAATGAGATGCACAATAATGCCTAAAAATAGCAAGATTATGTCAAATAAACACAAAACAACACCCAATCACAGTTTTGCATTTGAAACAAACAGACATAAAAAAAAATGACTTAATTGTCCACAACCATGTGAAAAATGACATAATAGAGACAGGAAATAACACAAAGAAAAAACGTAAAAATAAAATAAGAAAATGACAATAAAGGCACAAAAGCCCTGAAAGTGATTAGCAGAAAAAATGGTGGAGTTCGTGTTCAGTTGGAGTTGGATTTAGAGTTGTATTGCTGTACTGAAAAAAAAAAAACACTTTTCCCTTTCAGGAGAGACGCAGAGGAATGTGACAAAGAAAAAAGCACACAGTCATGTGGTGTCGTGCTGCTGCCCTCCATCGCTGTGGTTGACAAAACAAACAGTTCAAAGAAACAAGAGGTAGGAGAGACATGAAAAGGAAGGAAGAGAGCACAATGCAAAGACAGACAGAACGAACAGCAAAAACTAAGCAAAGAGGAAGATAACAGAGGACGACGCAGCTTCAGCAGAAATCTGTCAGCCAGTTACATCCAGGCCTCCAGCAGCACGAGTCTAAAGATATCCACCAAACCCGGGTTTGGAGTGCAGAGAACAAAGGACTAGCATGTCTTATATGGCAAAAACTGGTTCATAGATTACACACACATTCACAATAAAACTGACATGAATGTTGAGATTTTCTTAATTAAGTTATTGCTAGTTCTGCCTCACATTCACAAGATTTTCAAAAAATTTGATCTCCTGAGATTCAAACATTATGTTCTCAATTTCAAAATCTTAGGAGGTCTCTTAAGTTATCATGTTCACAGGTTTTCAGAAAACTAAAACCTCTAACCATCAAGTCTTCTAAATATCTTGTAAATCCTCGGATGAGTTAGAATCAGTTTTTCCTACGTTGTCTCAATCTCCAGTGATCATCTAAGTGCTTAGAGCAGCTGGTCCTAGCACACTTCAAATCCTGTCTCCCCCCCACCCTGGACCCCCACCAATTCACATACCGCCAGAACAGGAGCACAGAGGATGCAGTCTCCATCGCACTGCACTCTGTCCTCTCACACCTGGACAATAACAACACCTACGCCAGATGCTTTTTATAGACTTCAGTTCAGCATTCAATACAATCCACCCCTCACAACTCATCAGGAAACTGACAGACCTGGGCATCAGTTCCCTCATCTGCAAATGGTTACTGGACTTCCTGACCAACCGCCCCCAACATGTCCGGCTTGATAACCGCTGCTCATCTACAATCACAATGAACCGTGTACCACAAGGCTGTGTGATGAGCCCTTTCCTCTACTCCCTCTTCACCCACGACTGCAGACCTGCTGATGGTTCCAACACCATCATTAAGTTTGCAGATGACACCACGGTGAGGCCGCCTACAGGGAGGAGGTGGATCGTCTGGCTGAGTGGTGCGACAGAAACAACCTGCTGCTTAACACCGAGAAGACCAAGGAGCTCATCATGGACTACAGGAGGAATGCTGACCCACATCCACCCATCCACATTAAGGGGACGGCTGTGGAGCGTGTGAGCAGCTTCAAGTTCCTGGGAGTCCACATCTCCGAGGATCTCACCTGGACGACCAACTGCTCCAAGCTGGTCAAGAAGGCTCACCAGCGCCTCTTCTTGTTGAGGACTCTGAGGAAGAACCACCTGTCCTCAGACATCCTGGTGAACTTCTATCGCTGCACCATCGAGAGCATCCTGACCAACTGTATAACAGTCTGGTACGGGAACTGCTCTGCCTCGGACCGGAAGGCGTTGCAGAGGGTCGTGAAAACTGCCCAGCGCATTGCCGGAGCACCACTTCCTGCCATAAAAGACATCTACAGGAAGCGGTGTCTGAAAAGGGCTGGGAAAATCATCAAAGACCCCAGTCACCCATCACATGGACTCTTCACCCTCCTGCCCTCTGGGAGGCGCCACAGGAGCCTCCGGACTAAGACCACCAGGTACCGGAACAGCTTCTTCCCCACAGCTGTCAGACTCCTGAACTCTGCCTCCTGACATCTGACCCACGTTAAACTCATGGACTGAACATACACACACCCACAATGGACAACTGTACCCTCAAACACACAATAATAACATGGACTGAACCACCACTCACAACCACTAGCACTTTATATAGCCTCTGTAGAAACTATCTACACCCTCACTTATCTTAACTGCACTACTGTATAGCTCTGTGTAAATAATCATTCTGTACATTCGATAATCTTTAATCCTACAACTGTTTACAACTTGCATAGTTCCCATTTCTGTATAGCTGTATATCTCAGATTCTGTAAAGTTATTTATTTCATATTCTGTATAGTTTTTCATATTTATATTCATATCCTGTACATAGCTTGTACTCACTACAGCCTGTACATACTTATAGTTATAGAATATTCACAACATACTTCATACCGTGTACATTATAACATACCATAATAGACCCATTTCTGTAATATACTCACATATCTATATTATTGCTAATATATATTGTAATATATCTATATCACTAAAGCACTTCTGGATGGATGCAAACTGCATTTCGTTGCCTTGTACCTGTGCATGTGCAATGACAATAAAGTTGAATTCTAATTCTAATTCTAATTCTAATCATGTTCCCAAATATTGGCGACCATGCTACCCGCCCACTCGGCGGGGTGACGGCAAACCCATGTCAAGCACTTTAATGCCAAAGCAACAGGTTTGGATATAACCCTACAGAGATGTCGGGAACAGTTACAAACATTAACAGAGCACACAGTCTGATGCCAAGCAAGGAGATGAAGGGACAAGGAAAACAGTGTAAAAGATCTGTTTTTCCCATCGCATAAATATAGAAATGGAGTTTCTGAAATGCATCACCCTTGTAAAAGTTTATTAATTATT